AATTCTGTAACTCAAAATTACAAACTGGACAGTAAATGTTCCACTTTTCACTCGTTTGTAAAAGCCGCTCTTGCTTTAAAAGCTATAGGGTTACTTCCGAAAACGATAAATAGTGCCCTCACGACGCCATTGTTTTCGGTCTTCAATTCCTCACAGGTCACGTGGTACAGTTCCCGTTCTATAAGTGTAGAATTCTGTGAATTATTATAATCTAGATCTAGCTAAAGTCGTTTCTGTTTTTTAATTATTAAGATGAATATTTGGAGTGATTTTCTTTTAGTCAGAACACAACGTTTTATGTTACTGTTGTAAATTGTACTGTATTGTAAAGCGCTCAGGGCCTGTGTACTTTAATCGGGGTTGAGTGCTATATGAATGTCATTTATTATTATTATTATTATTATTATTATTATTATTATTATGAAGAAGAAGAACCCAACGAAGACCGAGGGCCCAGCACCAGGGGCGAGAACTAGGCCAAGCTTGTCCAGTCGTAGGTTCGGGAATCCCCGTTCTCTTCCACTTCCTGCCGCGAGGGGGCGCTGCGAGCGGCGTGAGAGAGAGAGAAGAAGATACAAAGATTCTGGTTTGGTGGCTCTGTCAAAACTCGACTTGTTAGCCTACATCGGATTGTGTGTCTTGTTGTGTGTGAGTGTGTGCCCAGTGCAGTGGTGGTGATTTTCACGAACATTTCTCAACACTTATTGCTGCTGCCCTTGCTGTTTGCTGCTGTTTGCTGCGGCGAGAAGCTATGTCAACTCTAAAAAAGAAAAGCCTCACTCTACAAGAACGGATGGAAGTCATCAAACTGCGCGATGAAGGAAACCCAGCGCGACTCATAGCACAACGATTTCAAGTCGGGAAAACGCAAATTCAAAACATTCTGAAAAGGAAAGCGGAATTGACGGCGGAGTTTGAAGCCTGGGCACCTCTCGACAAACGGCGTAATTCCAAGGTGACTGGCAACGAGCCGATCAACGATCTCCTCTACAAATGGTTTCTGGACGCGACCAGTCGGCGAATTAGCGTGACGGGACCCATGCTCAAAGAGAGGGCGCTGAAATTCGCCAGTGATCTTGGTATTACCAAGTTCTCGGCCTCTAACGGCTGGCTGCAGTCTTTCACCAAACGCAACAGCCTGGTCTACGGGAAGATCTCCAAGTGCTTCAACAAGGCGGGGCTCAGGCCACCGGCCCAGGGAGAAGAGGACGCCACAGACTTGCCACCAGTAGGAATAGGGCCACTAGGGGGAGCCGAGCGGTTTGACCACCTGAGCACCGTGCCAATCGCAGGGTCATTTCCAAGACCTCCTGAAACCGATCGTCCGCCAGCAGAGTTGCTCACAAATTTAAAAACAGAGAAAACAGCAGACGACGAGGACGAGGAAAATGGCAACAGCGAAAGTGTTCCCGCCACAGAGTCAGAGAGTGCGGTGTCAACACAGGAAGCGTTTTCTGCTCTCAGCACACTTCGTCTTTACCTACAGCAAAAATGTCTACTGCCTTCACTGCACCGCTTGACCACCATCGAAGACGAAATGATGACGAGCATATTGACGACAAAATAATCGACAACCGCAGCAAACTTGTTTCAGAACAGGAGAGAGAGAGAGAGAGAGATCTATGAGTGAGAGCAGGAGAAGTCAGCTGGGAGATGTGGGGCCAGGGACTCTCTGTGTTAACTCCCCCCCCCCC